CAAGGTCAGTGCCTCTTGTGTGTACAAGGTCAGTGTCTCTTGTCTGTGTGGGGGAAGTGTCTCTTGTGTGTACAAGGTCAGTGTCTCTTGTGTGTACAAGGTCAGTGCCTCTTGTGTTTACAAGGTCAGTGTCTCTTGTGTTTACAAGGTCAGTGTCTCTTGTGTGTACAAGGTCAGTGCCTTTTGTGGGGACAAGGTCAGTGTCTCTTGTGTGTGCAAGGTCAGTGCCTGTTGTCTGTGTGGGGGTAATGTCTCTTGTGTGTACAAGGTCAGTGTCTCTTGTGGGGACAAGGTCCGTCCCTCTTGTGTGTACAAGGTCAGTGTCTCTTGTGTGTACAAGGTCAGTGTCTCTTGTGTGTACAAGGTCAGTGTCTCTTGTGTGTACAAGGTCAGTGTCTCTTGTGTGTACAAGGTCAGTGTCTCTTGTGTGTACAAGGTCAGTGTCTCTTGTGTGTACAAGGTCAGTGTCTCTTGTGTGTACAAGGTCAGTGTCTCTTGTGTGTACAAGGTCAGTGTCTCTTGTGTGTACAAGGTCAGTGTCTCTTGTGTGTACAAGGTCAGTGTCTCTTGTGTGTACAAGGTCAGTGCCTCTTGTGTGTACAAGGTCAGTGCCTCTTGTCTGTGTGGGGGAAGTGTCTCTGGTGTGGTACAAGGTCAGTGTCTCTTGTGTGTACAAGGGTCATGCCGTCTTGTGTTTACAAGGTCAGTGTCTCTTGTTGTTTACAAGGTCAGTGTCTCTTGTGTGTACAAGGTCAGTGCCTCTTGTCTGTGTGGGGGAAGTGTCTCTTGTGTGTACAAGGTCAGTATCTCTTGTGTGTACAAGGTCAGTGCCTCTTGTGTTTACAAGGTCAGTGCCTCTTGTGTGTACAAGGTCAGTGTCTCTTGTCTGTGTGGGGGAAGTGTCCTCTTGTGTGTACAAGGTCAGTGTCTCTGTGTGTACAAGGTCAGTGCCTCTTGTGTTTACAAGGTCATGTCTCTGTGTTTTACAAGGTCAGTGTCTCTGTGTTGTACAAGGTCAGTGCCTTTTGTGGGGACAAGGTCAGTGTCTCTTGTGTGTACAAGGTCAGTGCCTCTTGTGTGTACAAGGTCAGTGTCTCTTGTCTGTGTGGGGGAAGTGTCTCTTGTGTGTACAAGGTCAGTGTCTCTTGTGTGTACAAGGTCAGTGTCTCTTGTGTTTACAAGGTCAGTGTCTCTTGTGTGTACAAGGTCAGTGCCTCTTGTGTGTACAAGGTCAGTGTCTCTTGTCTGTGTGGGGGAAGTGTCTCTTGTGTGTACAAGGTCAGTATCTCTTGTGTGTACAAGGTCAGTGTCTCTTGTGTGTACAAGGTCAGTGCCTCTTGTGTGTACAGAGGTCAGTGTCTCTTGGTCTGTGTGGGGGAAGTGTCTCTTGTGTGTACAAGGTCAGTGTCTCTTGTGTGTACAAGGTCAGTGCCTCTTGTGTTTACAAGGTCAGTGTCTCTTGTGTTTACAAGGTCAGTGTCTCTTGTGTTTACAAGGTCAGTGTCTCTTGTGTGTACAAGGTCAGTGCCTTTTGTGGGGACAAGGTCAGTGTCTCTTGTGTGTGCAAGGTCAGTGCCTGTTGTCTGTGTGGGGGTAATGTCTCTTGTGTGTACAAGGTCAGTGTCTCTTGTGGGGACAAGGTCCGTCCCTCTTGTGTGTACAAGGTCAGTGTCTCTTGTGTGTACAAGGTCAGTGTCTCTTGTGTGTACAAGGTCAGTGTCTCTTGTGTGTACAAGGTCAGTGTCTCTTGTGTGTACAAGGTCAGTGTCTCTTGTGTGTACAAGGTCAGTGTCTCTTGTGTGTACAAGGTCAGTGTCTCTTGTGTGTACAAGGTCAGTGTCTCTTGTGTGTACAAGGTCAGTGTCTCTTGTGTGTACAAGGTCAGTGTCTCTTGTGTGTACAAGGTCAGTGTCTCTTGTGTGTACAAGGTCAGTCCCTCTCGTGTGTACAAGGTCAGTCCCTCTTGTGTGTGTGGGGTCAGTGTCTCTTGTGTGTGTGGGGATAGTGTCTCTTGTGTGTACAAGGTCAGTGTTTATTGTGTGTACAAGGTCAGTGTCTATTGTGTGTACAAGGTCAGTGCCTCTTGTATGTACAAGGTCAGTCCCTCTTGTGTGTGTGGGGTCAGTGTCTCTTGTATGTGTGGAGATAGTGTCTCTTGTGTGTACAAGGTCAGTGTCTATTGTGTGTACAAGGTCAGTGTCTATTGTGTGTACAAGGTCAGTGCCTCTTGTATATACAAGGTCAGTGTCTCTTGTATATACAAGATCAGTGTCTCTTGTTTGTACAAGGTCAGTGTCTCTTGTGTGTACAAGGTCAGTGTCTCTTGTGTGTGTGGGGTCACTGCCTCTCGTCTGCATAGGGGGAGTGCCTCTTGTCTTTACAAGGTCAGTGTCTCTTGTGTGTACAAGATCAGTGTCTCTTGTCTGTGTGGGGGAAGTGTCTCTTGTGTGTACAAGGTCAGTATCTCTTGTGTGTACAAGGTCAGTGTCTCTTGTGTGTACAAGGTCAGTGTCTCTTGTGTGTACAAGGTCAGTGTCTCTTGTGTGTACAAGGTCAGTATCTCTTGTGTGTACAAGGTCAGTGTCTCTTGTGTGTACAAGATCAGTGTCTCTTGTGTGTACAAGGTCAGTGCCTCTTGTGTGTACAAGGTCAGTGTCTCTTGTGTGTACAAGGTCAGTGTCTCTTGTGTTTACAAGGTCAGTGTCTCTTGTGTGTACAAGGTCAGTGTCTGTTGTGTGTGTGGGGTCAGTGTCTCTTGGGTGTACAAGGTCAGTGTCTCTTGTGCGTGGGGGGTCAGTGTCTCTTGTATGTGTGGGGTCAGTGTCACTTGTGCGTGGGGGGTCAGTGTCTATTGTGTGTGTGGGGTCAGTGTCTATTGTGTGTACAAGGTCAGTGTCTCTTGTGTGTACAAGGTCAGTGCCTCTTGTGTTTACAAGGTCAGTGTCTCTTGTGTGTACAAGGTCAGTGCCTCTTGTATATACAAGGTCAGTGTCTCTTGTATATACAAGATCAGTGTCTCTTGTGTGTACAAGGTCAGTGTCTCTTGGGTGTACAAGGTCAGTGTCTCTTGTGTGTACAAGATCAGTGTCTCTTGTCTGTGTGGGGGAAGTGTCTCTGGTGTGTACAAGGTCAGTATCTCTTGTGTGTACAAGGTCAGTGTCTCTTGTGTGTACAAGGTCAGTGTCTCTTGTGTGTGTGGGGTCACTGCCTCTCGTCTGCATAGGGGGAGTACCTCTTGTGTTTACAAGGTCAGTGTCTCTTGTGTGTACAAGATCAGTATCTCTTGTGTGTACAAGGTCAGTGTCTCTTGTGTGTACAAGGTCAGTGTCTCTTGTGTGTACAAGGTCAGTGCCTCTTGTGTGTACAAGGTCAGTGCCTCTTGTGTGTACAAGGTCAGTGTCTCTTGTGTGTGTGGGGGAAGTGTCTCTTGTGTGTACAAGGTCAGTATCTCTTGTGTGTACAAGGTCAGTGCCTCTTGTGCGTACAAGATCAGTGTCTCTTGTGTGTACAAGGTCAGTGCCTCTTGTGTGTACAAGGTAAGTGTCTCTTGTGTGTACAAGGTCAGTGTCTCTTGTGTTTACAAGGTCAGTGTCTCTTGTGTGTACAAGGTCAGTGTCTGTTGTGTGTGTGGGGTCAGTGTCTCTTGGGTGTACAAGGTCAGTGTCTCTTGTGTGTACAAGGTCAGTGTCTCTTGTGCGTGGGGGGTCAGTGTCTCTTGTGTGTGTGGGGTCAGTGTCTATTGTGTGTGTGGGGTCAGTGTCTCTTGTCTGTGTGGGGTCAGTGTCTCTTGTCTGTGTGGGGTCAGTGTCTATTGTGTGTGTGGGGTCAGTGTCTCTTGTCTGTGTGGGGTCAGTGTCTCTTGTCTGTGTGGGGTCAGTGTCTCTTGTGTGTGTGGGGTCAGTGTCTCTTGTCTGTGTGGGGTCAGTGTCTCTTGTGTGTGTGGGGTCAGTGTCTCTTGTGTGTGTGGGGTCAGTGTCTATTGTGTGTGTGGGGTCAGTGACTATTGTGTGTGTGGGGTCAGTGTCTCCTGTCTGTGTGGGGTCAGTGTCTATTGTGTGTGTGGGGTCAGTGTCTCTTGTGTGTGTGGGGTCAGTGTCTCCTGTCTGTGTGGGGTCAGTGTCTCTTGTGTGTGTGGGGTCAATGTCTCCTGTCTGTGTGGGGTCAGTGTCTCTTGTGTGTGTGGGGTCAGTGTCACTTGTCTGTGTGGGGTCAGTGTCTCTAGTGTGTGTGGGGTCAATGTCTCTTGTGTGTGTGGGGTCAATGTCTCCTGTCTGTGTGGGGTCAATGTCTCTTGTCTGTGTGGGGTCAGTGTCTCTAGTGTGTGTGGGGTCAGTGTCTCTTGTGTGTGTGGGGTCAGTGTCTCTTGTGTGTGTGGGGTCAATGTCTCCTGTCTGTGTGGGGTCAATGTCTCTTATGTGTGTGGGGTCAATGTCACTTGTCTGTGTGGGGTCAGTGTCTCTAGTGTGTGTGGGGTCAGTGTCTCTTGTGTGTGTGGGGTCAGTGTCTATTGTGTGTGTGGGGTCAATGTCTCTTGTGTGTGTGGGGTCAATGTCTCCTGTCTGCGTGGGGTCAATGTCTCCTGTCTGCGTGGGGTCAGTGTCTCTTGTGTGTGTGGGGTCAGTGTCACTTGTCTGTGTGGGGTCAGTGTCTCTTGTGTGTGTGGGGTCAGTGTCTCTTGTGTGTGTGGGGTCAGTGTCTCTTGTGTGTGTGGGGTCAGTGTCTCTTGTGTGTGTGGGGTCAGTGTCTCTTGTGTGTGTGGGGTCAGTGTCACTTGTCTGTGTGGGGTCAGTGTCTCTTGTGTGTGTGGGGTCAGTGTCTCTTGTGTGTGTGGGGTCAGTGTCTCCTGTCTGTGTGGGGTCAGTGTCTCTTGTGTGTGTGGGGTCAGTGTCACTTGTCTGTGTGGGGTCAGTGTCTCTAGTGTGTGTGGGGTCAGTGTCTCTTGTGTGTGTGGGGTCAATGTCTCTTGTGTGTGTGGGGTCAATGTCTCCTGTCTGTGTGGGGTCAATGTCTCTTGTCTGTGTGGGGTCAGTGTCTCTAGTGTGTGTGGGGTCAATGTCTCTTGTGTGTGTGGGGTCAATGTCTCCTGTCTGCGTGGGGTCAATGTCTCTTATGTGTGTGGGGTCAATGTCACTTGTCTGTGTGGGGTCAGTGTCTCTAGTGTGTGTGGGGTCAGTGTCTCTTGTGTGTGTGGGGTCAGTGTCTATTGTGTGTGTGGGGTCAATGTCTCTTGTGTGTGTGGGGTCAATGTCTCCTGTCTGCGTGGGGTCAATGTCTCCTGTCTGCGTGGGGTCAGTGTCTCTTGTGTGTGTGGGGTCAGTGTCACTTGTCTGTGTGGGGTCAGTGTCTCTTGTGTGTGTGGGGTCAGTGTCTATTGTGTGTGTGGGGTCAATGTCTCTTGTGTGTGTGGGGTCAATGTCTCCTGTCTGCGTGGGGTCAATGTCTCCTGTCTGCGTGGGGTCAGTGTCTCTTGTGTGTGTGGGGTCAGTGTCACTTGTCTGTGTGGGGTCAGTGTCTCTTGTGTGTGTGGGGTCAGTGTCTCTTGTGTGTGTGGGGTCAGTGTCTCTTGTCTGTGTGGGGTCAGTGTCTCTTGTGTGTGTGGGGTCAGTGTCTCTTGTGCGTGTGGGGTCAGTGTCTCCATCCAGCAACACGGTCTGCAACTCTTCATCGCTCAGCACCACGCCGCCACTGGCGCCGCTGCTGTTGGTGCTGCTCCCGGTAGGAGCAGCTGCCGCTGTATAATGCCCAGCAGGGCGGCGGGCCTCGTCGCCAGTCACTCCGGCACCCGCCGCTCCTCCTGTTTGAGCGTCGTCGCAAACACGACGCTCAGCGTTGACCTTGCGCGGAACTTCGGGGGGCACGCTCCGCCCGTCGCGGGCGTCATCGGCGGCCAATCGTTGGCTCCCCGCAGCTGGCAAGGTACTTGGGCAACATTCTCCGACGCTTGCAGAAGTCAATTCCCCGGCTGCGTCACCTGTTGCACCCCCCGCGGCAGCGTCGCCGTTGCTCAGTGTCGAGGGCTCCCGACGTCCCGCGCGGGCGGAACGGATGCGACGCGAACGCGACTGGTCGATGCGTTCCCCGTCACTCGTCCTTCCGGCGCGCGCGGAGGCACGCACGGCTTCCGAGTGGCCCCGGGGAGAGCTCGCACCCATCCCGTTCGTGTCGGTCGCACACCGCCCGACGGAATCTAAGAACGCAGAGAAAACGTCCGTAAGGCAGACAACGGCATGGAAGAAAAATCAATGTCAACACAGCAAACTAGACGGAAGTCGAATTTCTGTAAAACTCATTTTTCTTGTGTTTAGCTTGTTGCTCCTTCCCCCGCACCCTCCGATTAGCAAGGTTGGCTACAGAGAGGGAAAAAGTATTTGATCCCCTGCTGATTTTGTACGTTTGCCCACTGCCAAAGAAATTATCAGTCTATAATTTTAATGGTAGGTTTATTTGAACAGTGAGAGACAGAATAACAACAAAATCCAGAAAAACGCATATAAAAAATGTTATAAATTGATTTGTATTTTAATGAGGGAAATAAGTATTTGACCCCCTGTCAATCAGAAACATTTCTGGCTCCCAGGTCTCTTTTATACAGGTAACGAGCTGAGATTATGAGCACACTCTTAAAGGGAGTGCTCCTAATCTCAGCTTGTTACCTGTACAAAAGACACCTGTCCACAGAAGCAATCAATCAATCAGATTCCAAACTTTCCACCATGGCCAAGACCAAAGAGCTCTCCAAGGATGTCAGGGACAAGATTGTAGACCTACACAAGGCTGGAATGGGCTACAAGACCATTGCCAAGCAGCTTGGTGAGAAGGTGACAACAGTTGGTGCGATTATTCGCAAATGGAAGAAACACAAAATAACTGTCAATCTCCCTCGGCCTGGGGCTCCATGCAAGATCTCAACTCGTGGAGTTGTAATGATCATGAGAACCGTGAGGAATCAGCTCAGAACTACACGGGAGGATCTTGTCAATGATCTCAAGGCAGCTGGGACCAAAGTCACCAAGAAAACAATTGGTAACACACTACGCCGTGAAGGACTGAAATCCTGCAGCGCCCGCATGGTCCCCCTGCTCAAGAAAGCAAATATACATGCCCGTCTGAAGTTTGCCATTGAACATCTGAATGATTCAGAGGACAACTGGGTGAAAGTGTTGTGGTCAGATGAGACCAAAATGGAGCTCTTTGGCATCAACTCAACTCGCCGTGTTTGGAGGAGGAGGAATGCTGCCTATGACCCCAAGAACACCATCCCCACCGCCAAACATGGAGGTGGAAACATTATGCTTTGGGGGTGTTTTTCTAAGGGGACAGGACAACTTCACCGCATTAAAGGGACGATGGACGGGGCCATGTACCATCAAATCTTGGGTGAGAACCTCCTTCCCCCAGCAGGGCATTGAAAATGGGTCCTGGATGTGTATTGCAGCATGACAATGACCCAAAACACACGGCCAAGGCAACAAAGGAGTGGCTCAAGAAGAAGCACATTAAGGTCCTGGAGTGGCCTAGCCAGTCTCCAGACCTTAATCTCATAGAAAATCCGTGGAGGGAGCTGAAGGTTCGAGTTGCCAAACGTCAGCCTCGAAACCTTAATGACTTGGAGAAGATATGCCAAGAGGAGTGGGACAAAATCCCTCCTGAGATGTGTGCAAACCTGGTGGCCAACTACAAGAAACGTCTGACCTCTGTGATTGCCAACAAGGGTTTTGCCACCAAGTACTAAGTCATGTTTTGCAGAGGGGTCAAATACTTATTTCCCTCATTAAAATGCAAATCAATTCATAACATTTTTGACATGCGTTATTCTGGATTCTTTTGTTGTTATTCTGTCTCTCACTGTTCAAATAAACCTACCATTAAAATTATAGACTGATCATTTCTTTGTCAGTGGGCAAACGTACAAAATCAGCAATGGATCAAATAAGTTTTTTCCCTCACTGTACGTACGGTGCAAAAGAAGTTCATACATACATACATAGACGCACACAGAGATCCATACTCACATAGAGATCCAGACTTATACAAAGACCAAGAGACTAACACACATATCCCATTTCTTTAGAACTGCTTTTTGTGTTTAGTTTGTTGTCCCCCCCCCCACCTCCGATTAGCAAAGTTGGCTATGTACGGTGCGAAAGAAGTTCAACATAAATAGCGTCACGCAGAGATCTATAGACTCACACAGAGACCCAGAGACTCACACAGAGACCCATTTGTTTAGAACTTCCTTTTGGTGTTAAGTTTGTTGCTCCTTCCCCCCGGCACCTCCGATTAGCATGGATGGCTATGTACGGTGCAAAAGAAGTTCAACGTACGTACATGTAAAGTCCACGTTTGAAAAATGACACCACACAATTACTCAGTTGGGATTACACACAACGGGCTCAGGGGGAGCGCCTTCATGGAGCAGTGGATCAATCATGGCTGACGGCGATGGAAAAATAGCCAAGGGTTCTCGCGTCAGGATACGCGAAGGCCTATTTTTGGTGCCTGTGCATTAACACGCCTTACACGGAGACCCAGAGGCGTGTTCGTATTCTCGATGCCACTTGCCAATGAGGCCGAGGGAACAAGTTTATCCGGTACTCTTCTCGACTCAATATCAAAACGTGGAGAATATTTACATTTTTTTACTGGCTGTTCCGTCGCCTGCCCCGCCCCGCCGTCAAATGGAGAGAACATTCCAACAACATCATTGTAGAGTGCGCACCACCTATTTAAACCTGCGCGGCAGGTGACACAATGGGGAGAGCCTCTTCAATCCCTCCCCTCGTACTGTCACCTCTCACAAGAGCCGTGCACAGCGTTCCAACAACAAACACTGCAGGTCGCAGCACGACTCTTTCTGCTTCTTCCCTCTTACCTGCTCCACTTTGGAATTCCCTTCTCACGTCATCGCATCGTTTCCCAAGTTCTTAACATAATAACCTTGCTCAGATCAAGAAACGTGTTCACCCTTGTCCGTTGCAACTTTGATAATAGTGTTGTTTGTTGCTGGCCTGGAGATGCTTTGGGCCTTTGGGCCTGTGCCCAAAACCTGCGTTTAAGCGAAGATGTCTCACCGGCACGGAAGAGGAGGCCAAACGCTCTCTACAGGGGCTCTCTGCAGGCGCAACAACCGGAAATTACGCGCCGCCTGCTTCACAGGGGACGTTAAAGATCCCCGTGACGCCATTCGGAAGGAGCAGGCCCCATCGTGTCGCGGGCGTCATGGTCAAAATTTGGCAAATTCGAATGATTACACCGCAAAAAATGTTCCTCAGTTGGGGAACACGCACAGCGGTGGAAGCACGACAGCCCGACTGCGTCTGTGAAACACAGCAGGCGCCTTGCCCCGATCACGATGATCGCCCTCGCGCCATGTGAACGACAGCGCCAACACCACGTGCCCCCTCAATTGCTATTGCCAATGACTATCTATGATAACAAATGTCTCCAAATGATCGGAACTAATGCGACGGGGTCCGCGGGGATCTTTAACGGCCACTGTCGAAACGGGCGGCGCGTATTCATACGGTTAACACCACACCACCGCCCGCGGTACTAACCAGGGCATCTTTGCTGGATTTGAACCACAAACTTCTGCAACGAGCAGAGGAAACGCACCCACCGCTGACCCACGGTGTAAATACCGGTAGCAGCACCAACAGTTCATGTTACAGTAAAATCTTGGATTGCGAGCAGAATTCGTTCCGGAAACGTGTTTGTAATCCAAAGCACTCGTATATCAGTGTGTGATCACGTCACGCTCGGCAGTACAAAGCGTATACACGTACACTGCTCGTATTGCAAGACCCTCGCTCGTTTATCAAATTAATATTCATTTTAAAATTTTGCTCGTCTTGCAAAACACTCGCAGACCAAGTTACTCGCAATCCAAGGTTTCACCGTATCCGTATGCATGTACGTAGCCCACCGTGCTAATCGGAGGTGCGGGGGAAGGAGCAACAAACGAAAAACAAACTAAAGCACACACCACGACTCGGGCGAGTTTTAGTTATGAAAAATGCTCATGGTATGCGGTGGTGGGCGTTGGCTCTCGGGTCCATAAAAGTCACCCGTCGTACCTCCCCGCCCAGTTATTCCGAGCTGCACATTCGTCGTCGTGAACCGGCTTCAAAAACACAGCAGTGGCAACACAGACAAAGGTCTCCTGTATAGCCTTAACAAACTGTAGGGGGGAAAGAATGTATGTTGAACTTCTTTCACACCATACGTAGCCAACCGTGATAATCGAGCGCACGTGAAGGCCGCCACGGTGGGGGGGGTAGGGCCACCACCACGCCCGGCCGCCATTTCCTACCCAGTGTTGATGATTTAAACACAGCACCAGGTACTCATTTGAGGCAGAGTCGACCTAGGGGAGGCCCAGGACCGGTTCCGATAATCGTCACCGGTGTTGGCGGTGAGCGGGAAATTGAACTCTGGTCGCCGGGTTTTCAGAGCAGCGCGCTAACCGCTACACTACCGGCTCCCCCACAATGTGGCATGCTCACGCGCACACACACACAAACACACCGTGCCCGTTTGGCACAGTAAGGCATTGAGAGCTCACCTGCACATGGGGAACGGGAGTTTGGCGCGCCTTCAACGCCAGCGAGGAACCGGCACGCGTCGTCACGGGGCCGTCCACCGTCCGCATCGCCTGCGGCAGCCGCCAGCTCATCGACTCCATCGTCATCGTCTGCACGTTCAGTGCCGGCTCCCCCGGCTCTCGATGGGCGGCCGCCCGCATCCACCGAACCGCCGCCCTCGTCATCCTCCCAGAGTGCTTTGCGATCGCCTACCGGGGCACCCGCCAGCGCGTTCGCTTCGGCGGGCGCCGCGCTCACGCGGGCTTCTTCCGGGGCCCCGGCAACGCTCCAGTCGGCGTGTGTCCGGCGCTCCCGGTCGCCGCTCGTGCCCTCCCAAGCGTCAGCGGGCAACGCGCGACGTCCTTGCCCTCCGCCGGGAGGGGCTGGCGCTCGCGAGCCACCATCAGCGGCGCGCCTCTCTCCGGACACGGTCACGGGTGGATCGAAGACAGCAGTAGCAGCAGCAGCAGCAGCAGCAGGAGCAGTAGGCTGAGGTCGTGACATTTGTAAAGATTCATTCAGCCCAGCGGAGTCAAAGTCCCGTTGGTGAAAGGCCCCGCGTGCAGTGAACGGGCGGGCCTCTCTCTCCGCAAGCTTTTCAGTCACTCGAGTGCCCTTACTCTCGGTCTCCTCCGGCGCCGGCATTTCTGCTGGTACCGTGCCCACACCTCCTGCGCTCAGCTCCTGTGGCGAGGCGTCGTTGTCAGCCGTGGGCACAAGCGGCGTCTGCTCCGTCGGGACCCGGACTCGCTCCGCTGGCTTTGGCGACAAAGCCATCCCGTCGTCCGTCCCGTCGCGGTGTCGTTGGGCGGCTTCAAGGGGCGGCCCGCAAACTTTATCAACCTCCCCGGGGCTACGGGGGAGCCGGGCGATTCCCCCCGGCGGAATGCCGTGAGCTATCGTCAACAAGCCGACCCGTGCCGGTCCGCAAATGACACCCTCGTTGCTAGTCTGGGGGCAGTTGAAGAGCTCCGAGTGAAAACGAGGTCTGCCGAGTTGCGAGACGTCCCAGGAATGATGGTCATTTGGCTCCCCGCGCTCCGTAACGGCGCGCGGCGCCCGCCCGCCGCTCGTCGTGCGCACGTCAAATATCCTGACTCGGCCCTCCATCTCATCAACGTCGCCGCACGCCGACCCGGTCGAGTTGCCCGTCGGCGATTCTGACGCGGTTAAGCCGAGCGAGCCGCGCGCAGCCCCGGGCCGCGCGCAAGTTGCGGCAAGAAGTTGCGTTGCGGCGGCGGCGGCGGCGGTAGCGGCCATAGCAGCCTCCGAGCGTGGGAGGCTCGCACCAAGCGACGCCTGCTCGCAACCGCCGCGACTGTCCTGCGCGGAGTGGAGCTGCCCGAAAATACTTTTTGGCAACCGCCCTGAGCCCGGCGGCTCACCTGAACCGTGCCAATGGTCGCGTGCGTCTTCAAACGCTCCCATGCTAACGCGTTTGGGGAGGCGCCGGCTACGAGTGGGCACGACGGTACGCTCGGCCCTTGCTCCAGGCGAGCGCGCTCCGTCAGAATAACTTTCAGGATCGCTCGCGGCCCCGTGGGAAGAAACGGCAGCCGCGGCGTTTCCCGCGTCGCTGTGGGACCGGCTGGAGATCGGCGGTTGATGCGGGCCGACTTGGCAATCGTTCCCACGTCTCATTAGGTTGCTCTGTACGAGCTCACTTTGATGACTTCCTTCCTGACTTTTGCCGCGACACCGAGACGCAACATTCGCGTCGCTCACGGCTGCATACTTGCGGTTGTTGGAAGAGGCGACCGCACTGGAAGCGACTCCGACGAGGCAAGGCGCCCCTTGGCAATCTGAAGGGGCGGCCGAAGCCGATTCGTTATGAAGGCACCGGGCGGCATCGCGTGCCTCGGCCCGTTTAGTTTCAACCATCGCTTTGTTCACAGCAGCAGCAGCAGCAGCAACGGCGTCGTCGTCGTCAACATCATCTCTACGCTCCGTCGTTAGTTCCAACCCGCCACGTGACCCGCCGGGAGTGGGGTGCGAGACACGTGTGCTTCCAGCAGGGCTGACCCGACGCCTGCCCAAACACGTTTGGGACCGATTCACCTCGCAGGCACGGGACGCGGCGGCGCCCGCGGGGTTCGTCGATTCGATCAGCGGGGGTTGCGCGGCGTCGCCCACGATGACGTCAGCGGGCGAGGTCGCCGAACCATCGCCGGGTTTGCCCTCGGAGCCACCAGGACTCGCGGCGGCGGCGGGGGCGGCGCCGCCGACGCCGCGCTCCGTCGCACCCTCCTCCGGCGCCGCCGGGTCCTGCCGGGCCGAGGGCCGCGGCACGTCGACAAACTCGGGCTGCAGCAGCTCCTTCCAGGGCAGCCGCACGGGCCCCTCGGGACACGAGAGCACGCAGTTCTCCAACGGAGGCCCCCCCCTCTCCGCGCTCACTCCCTGCAGCCATTCCATGCTCAACAGGCTGCAGAGAGGGTCGTCGGGGCAGGGCACCTCTAGGACGTTGGCATGGCGCTGCCGAGATTGCCGGCCGCGGTGGTGCCTGTGCCGGGGTTGCCGCAGGCCGCGCCGGGAGAGGCACTTCAAGGTGACCCGGGGGCTCTGCTCCCTGCTCGGGCTCGGAACGACCTGCGCAGTGAAGACATCGTTAGCGTTCATCGCCCTGGTACATCCACCGTGGCACCACCACCACCACCACCACGGAGCAGGGTAACGTGGCACCACCACCATCCTGCTCCCATCCCACCCTGCCACCATGGCACCCTACCGCTCTGTCCCCCTGCCACCCTCCCAACATGCCACCCTGCCGCCCACCTGCAGGTAGAAGTCCCGTGATCGCAGCACGAGGGGGTCGAGGTCACAAAGCTGGAGCACCACACGCTCCCCCAGGCACAGCGGCCATCCCTCGTGCCGAAAGATCTTCCCTGGATAGTTTGCCTGCACAACACACGCACAAAGACAAAGATCCCCGTATAGCCGACTGTCGGGCCAAGTGCTGTGAGCGAGCAGCACCTATGAAGGCCGGCACCACGAAGGGGTGGGTGGCCAACACCACGCCCGGCCACCTTTGTCTCCCCCAGTGGTGATGTTTACACACTGCACAAGGTACTCATTTGAGGCTTAGTCGACCTAGGGTAGGCCTAGGACCATTTCAGATATAACAGCCGGGGCAGGGCGGGTCAGTGAGTTCCAATAGGAATAAGTAATATTAAAAAAAAAAACTTTTTTCTAAACGCGCTTTAATGAAATGTACCGTACTAGTAATGGAAGAACTCCACGACTCCAGGAAGTGGCCCCGAAGCTTGCCATAATGTAAGGGACCCGTGGTCTTTTACAGCATTCGTCAGTTTACCGTAGACAATTAGAGCCAAGCCGAAACATAACATAGCAAAAATAATGTTTTCAAATATATGTTTTTTATATTGTATGATAGAATATAGTATGACATAAGTATACCATGTTTGCAGTCGATACCGCATTGAGCAGTGGGTTAACATTGATTTACAAGATTTGAGGATACAACAACGACAACAACAACAGAGTGAGTTAATAAAAAGCGTGGATAAAACGATCCACAAAACTGATAGGGAGTGTAAAATAGAGAAAAAGGTAACCAAGTAACTAAAGCTAAATAAATAGTAAATTCTAGATTTGAAGCTTTCGTGACTGCAAGGATCCATACTCTTTGGTTCTATTCGGTAAAGTCACGTAGGTAAAAAATAAAACAAAAATCACGACGTTTCGGCCACAACACAAGTAGCCTTCTTCAGGTGAAGGAACAGAACTGTCGGGACGACAGAGCTTCAATGTAGTCTTCTTCAGGTGAAGGAACAGTTCTGTTCCTTCACCTGAAGAAGGCTACTTGTGTTGTGGCCGAAACGTCGTGATTTCTGTTATTTTATTTTTTACCTACGTGACTTTACCGAATAGAACCAAATAGTAAATTGGTTGTTTACACGAGTCCGATTTATCATTGCTTGAGCAAGGCAGCAAAACCAACAACAACACAATACCAGACCACAACAAAACAGTCTCAGATTCACGTCACGCGGTTCGTGCGTCTCTTCCTCCCCCCCCACCTCCTCCCATTCTCTTGTTCACCTGGACCGCGCCGCAATCACGGCCGTGCACGGGGTTTGTTCGGCACGATGTCCCGACGTCGTTCGGCTCCTCGAAAGGCGCACCGGGCACGCTGGAGCGCAAACGTCGGACACCGTGGCAAACGGCGCGAGGGGCGCGTCGGGTGAACTCTGGCCTAGCCCGAGCTGGGAGGGTGAGGCCTACGCTGTGCATTCGCAAGGAAGGTCGAGTGTCACGATGACACTGCCAATCCTTCAGCGGCTTCAGGATCTTAAAACTCAATCGACTCACTTCCTAAGTTCGCAAACCTATCCGCGTCAATGCGATACAGAGCGGGATTTCTGTAGTCTCGATGCGACCGCATCGCAAGAGTCCAGAGAGAAGGGGTGGGGGGGGGGACTTATTAATGCCGTAGAGAGAGACACAGAGGCAGCCAGTTATAGGTCGAGATAAAATGGAAAGTCTTGAGCCTGGACTTGAACAGCGGCAGGGAGTCGACAGCACGGACAGCTGGGGGGGGGGGGTGTCAGCAGAGCGACCGACCTCCCACTCATGAAAGCCTGACTGGGGGATTTGACAGAAAGGCTTGATCGGCGGAGCGGAGAGTGTGTGCAGGGGAGTAGAGTGAGATGAGAGGGGAGAGGTAGGAGAGTGTGTGCAGGGGAGTAGAGTGAGATGGGAGGGGAGAGGCAGGAGAGAGCGTGGAGGGGAGTAGAGTGAGATGAGAGGGGAGAGGCAGGAGAGTGCGTGGAGGGGAGTAGAGTGAGATGAGAGGGGAGAGGTAGGAGAGTCCGTGGAGGGGAGTAGAGTGAGATGAGAGGGGAGAGGTAGGAGAGTGCGTGGAGGGGAGTGGAGTGAGATGAGACGGGAGAGGTAGGAGAGTGCGTGGAGGGGAGTAGAGTGAGATGAGAGGGGAGAGGTAGGAGAGTCCGTGGAGGGGAGTGGAGTGCGGTGGGAGGGGAGAGGTAGAAGTGGGCCTGGAGTGGACAGGCAGAAGAGGGCGTGGAGCGGAGTTGAGCGATATAACAGGGGAGAGGTGGGCAGGGGCGAGTTGTCGTTAGTGGCCATTCGCTTCAAGTTAGGGCAAAGTGGCCACACAAGCGCATCGTGACAGATGCCACGGAGATCACTTCCAAGAGGAGGCGTCACCGCGTAACCACAAGTGCAGCGCAAATTTCGCTCGGCCCGCAACCCAAACGCTTAAATTTTCACCGCTTCTTCTTGGACCAGGCCAATACCTCTAGGCCAACGATAAATCTCCAGGTGCGATTGAAGGCAAGCAAACTGCTCATCTCTGAAAGGACAAAGCTGTAATTTTCTTTTAAACTTTCAGTGGGGAGAGGTGGGGGGGGGGGGAGAGTGATGGCGCAGCGGTTAGCACACAGTTGGCGAGCTTGACATTGACTCCCATCCACAGCTCACATCAGTGGCGCTGGATATCTGAACCAGTCCCGAATCCTGGGAATTCCCCAGGAAGAGCTAGAGTCCGTCGCTAGGGAAAGGTAGTTTCTGGAGCGCCCGAATCAACATGCTGCCGCCACGTCCCTCGCCGGCACAAGCGGATTGAGAAACGAACGGCTGAACAATGCTCGATGCAAAGATATTGCCCCCCCCACCGACCCCAAATTGGCTTTAAACAGACTGTCGGAACAGGTGGTGTTGGCCAGCTCCAACGTTCCGCGACGTTCGTCTTCCCCGGGGCTGATGTTTACACACCCAGAGCAAGGCGCTCGAGTGAGGCCGAGTCGACCTAGGTTCGGATGTTCATCTCCGATGTTAATGCCGCGAGAGGGAATCGAATTCGGGGCCCACCGGGTTTCGGGAGAGCGCAGTGCAGCGCGTGAACCTCTGCGCCACCGTTCCCCGCTCGAGTATACAGTAAAAAAAAAAAGACTCGTTGGTTAACAAGTTTCGTAACCGTGAACAACCGCACTACCATTTCGAAAATACGTTCCTGAAAATAGTTAGTTGTGTCCTTGCGGAGAATATAAATAACAGAATGACTAAGCAGGCAATGTCTCCTTCACATATTCTCATCTCTCCACGTCTCTTGACAAGTTTGAGTCATGCATTCTATAATTTTGTGTCAAACTGGGTGTGTCCCCATATCGTGAACACGGGGAGCCCTTGCCTGCAAAAGATCGGCAATTCACCAGCCTGATTATGCTGATGAGACGCTGTACGTCGAAACCGGTCCTGGGACAATGCTGCTGAATTTATGCACTCCCAGAAAGCAATGTGGGCAGCTGATGGGATGTGTCAGAATTTGTTGTTGTTTTACCAGGTAAAGCCCACTGAGCTATAAAGATCTTTTTTCACAAGCGACCTGGCCACAAACGATGGCTCAACGAAGTGGCGTACCATGTGGAAATTTATAGCAGCCAGATACTCTAAACGTACGTTTCGAAGTGTGGCGGTAAAAAAACCAGAGGACCCGGAGAAAAATCCACGCGACCACCGGAAAAAGATTCAACCTCCAAACATACAGCAGCAGGCGTCAGGGTCGGGATCGAACCCACGACCTCCTGCACAACCAGGCGAGATAGTTAACATCTCATAGCCACCGTGATGATGGTGAGAGAGAGAGAGACACGCAAACTCCAAATATACAGCAGACATCAGAGTCGGGATCGAACCCACGACCTCATGCACACCAGGCGAGAGAGTTAACATCTCCTAGCCACCATGGCGAGACTTTAACCTAGTCTCCTTCCATCGCATGAATACCATGTGCGAGAGAAGTAGATGCACTGTCTGCTGACTTATCTCGTTAATTCTAAAATACTTTGGTTGAGGAATGTCGTAAGAAAGAAGACAGATTCGTGTATACATTTCGGCATAAGAGAAGGCACTGCATCACACAACCGTTTTCGCGGTTGGGCTGCAAATCTCTCTGGTGCGCCATCCTGGCTGTTCCGCGGACAGTTCGGGCCCGACTCCCGACGTAATTCAGTTCCTCAAGACGCCCCCCCCCCCCAGCATCGTGTGGGGGGGGGGGGGGGCAAAACGTCGGACTCGGTGCCAGAAAGGACGCAGCACGACCCAGAAAATTTATCGGGTTCCGCGTGCGACATTCAAGTTGCAAAACATTCACGCAAACAAATCTCGGGCGATAGTAAATAAAGCCCTCTGTCAATCCACTGCTGGATGAAGCGTGCAGAGATGCATTCAGGGAATTTGCTGACCTTGTGCCCCTATTGGACAGCTGTGAAAAAGAGCTTCATAGCTCATCGGATTCCTGCAGTCCAAATAAAGATCATGATTCCGAGACAGGGAGACCTCGTGTTGATGGGTAAATAAAAGTGAAGTGGGTTTAGGCGCCACGGTGGCGAGATGTTAACTACCTCGCCTGGTATACAGGAGGTTTTGGGTTCGATCCGGACCATGACGTCTGTATATTTGGAGTTTGCGTGTTCCCCCCGTGGTCCATGTGGATTTTTTCTCCGGGTCCTCCGGTTTTTCCCTCCGCATTTAGAATCATGTGTTTGGAATATACGGTTGCTGTAAATGTCCACATGCTAAGCAACTTCGTTGCGCTATCATTAGTGGACAGGGAGCTTCTGAAAACAGCTAAACAGCAGCTCAGTGGGCCTTACCTGCTAAAATAAATAAAAAATAGTCCGTATGCCACCACTGGAAGGAACGGTAGCCAATGGACAAGACTGGTTATGGAATGGCAGCCAAAGGAGGGAAGACAAGCCCGAGAGGACAGCCACACACCAGCAAGAAAGTTGGTGCCAGATGGATTGTAGCACGGCTAGGGACGGAAGTGGAGGCCTTCACCTGGCAATGGGTGGAAAATGAAGTATGGCAACAATGATGACGACGGTGCTGATTTATGAGCCCGCTCTAAAACA